TTGCCTCGCAGTCGACAGCTGCTCGCCATACGGGTTTGCTGGTCAATATGAAGTCACTGTGGTGTTGCAGTTTTTCGGGTGATGTGTACGTGGTCATGTTGCATTCGTGCTTGTAGAAGTACGTGTTCGTAAATCGTCTGTCCGTAGACGCCCAATTCTTTAGCCACTGGCCTCGCACGTTGACGACGCCATATCCACATGGCCCGACGGTACGTCGGTCGTCCTGGGATTGTCGCTGCCCCACCCGTGCGTTGCAGTCCGCTCCGATGAGAAAGGCGAGCTTCGTCAAGGTTGCATTTCGGTAGATGTCTTGCAGAATGCTGTACATTGATTGAATGCTCTTGTCACTGTATCCGCTATGTGGGACATAAGCTGAAACAATGCGCAATCTCAATACAGACACCACGATATCAGCACAACACATTCTTTCGTTGACTGGTTGGAACTAGCGGATACCATTCGCAAACTTTCTGTGTATCAGTATAGCAACTCCACAGCGTTGTTCTTCGAACCTGGATCCCATGAATACATGCCCATCTTTGGCCGCCCAATGTTCGTGCTTCTCTTGACGCCATGTCTCTTTGAGTGTTATAGAATCCCAACATGTACCACGCAATTATTGGAACAGCTCCTCCGCACGATCCTCCGAAATAAGTCCACGTACGTTTTGGTGGTATAGTGTAAATGTCGTCTCTGGCGTGGAGTTCGATAGATGGAGGTGTCGTGTTGAAGGTCGTGAGGTGGAGGTGGAAACTTGTAAGTCGACAGGTGCTGGTGGGCGCTGGGAGTCGGAGTCGAGAAGCTGAAGGTCGGTTGGTTGAGGATGGAGGTCGTCGCCTGGAGAAGGTTGGAGGTGGAAGACTGGAGGTCGATAGCTGGTGGTGGACGTTGGGAGTCGGGCGCTGACAGCTGGAGGTCGGCCAGGTGAGGCTGGGAGCCGATAGGTGGGGGTCGAACGCTGGAGGTGCAAGGCTGGAGGTCGACAGCTGGTGGTGGATGCTGAGGTATGTCATCTGGACTCTAGAAGCTTTGTGGATTGAGACTGGAGGTCGAAGGGTGGAGGCTGGCAACTGGAGGTGGAATGCTGTAGATCGACAACTGGTGGTGGATGCTGGGAGACGGAAGCTGGCCGTTGGAGGTCGGTTTGGCGAGGTTGGAGGTCGGTAGCTGAAGGTCGGACGCCGGAGGTGCAAGAGCGGAGGTCAAAAGCTGGTGGTGGATGCTGAGTGACGGCATCCGTACTCTGGATGTCGGTTGGTGGAGGTTGGAGGTCGATAGGTGGAGGTCGAAAGCTGGAGGTGGGAGGCTGGAGGTCGTGGGTGAGGTCGGGAGGTTGCTGGGATGTCGCGGTCTCTGCCCGTAATGAAACATTCTGTGCGTTGGAGCCAACCTGGCTGAAGTCGGTTGCAGCGCACGGTGGGGCGGGAAGTGAGGCCGGGCAACATGACGACCTTCGCTGCACGTGTCTGTCGGGCCGCTGTTGGAATACACGAGTTGGAGGCCACGGACGTTGAGGAAGGAGTGGGAGTCGGGGCGTTGAGGCCCCTGTGAAACGCGAGGTAACGAAACCCGTTCGATTCGAAAAAACAACTTGACCTTGATGAGGCAGTCCTGATGGATGTACCCGTGTGCCGCCGCCTGCCGGGACAGCGGGCGGGGAGCATCCTGTAGGGCAAAATTGTATCACCTTGCGACTTTCATTGTGAGCGTCAGCGCCGCCGTTTTGAAGCAGCCATACATAGACGACGACGACGACGACGACGACGACGACGACGACGACGACGACGACAACGGCGATGGCGGCGGCTGCGGCGATGGCGACGGCGGCAGCGACGGCAGAGTCCCTCGCCTGAGCGCGACGAAGGCGCGGAGGCCAGTATCCGCGGGCTGGCCGCTGAGCTGCAGCCACGCGATTTGGTCCACGCCTCGGCCCCGTCCCGCCCTCGCCCAGGAGGAGGTCGTCGTCGACGTTGTCATCGTCATCCTCCTGCCTCTTCCACCCCCCTACCCTCCCTATTGCGAGCGATCTGTGGGCTTCGCATTGCAATTTATGGACTCAAGTACACCGGCGAGCACGTGATATCGGATATGGCACATGATACCAAACAAAGTGAGTCCAGGCGTTTTTGAAGACCATGTCGAAAGGAGGAATCTGTTGTTTGACCCGGACTGAGGAGTATGCTGATACGAACGCCAAGCGAGGTAGACTTGCGTCCATTTCAAGAGGGAGCCATGACGCGTATGCTCAATGCCACAAGTGACATGAAGGTAGTCCAAAAGCTGAGGTGGTCTAAGGCGCTTCCTCTTGCAACCCCTCTCCATCCCCTCCGGGGAGAGTTATATCTGCTCCTTGTTAGCGAACCGAAACCATGCCCCACCCAGGGGCCCCAAACCCTGACGAAAATCAAAGAAAACATAAGTTGCTGCAATTTCATGAAACATGCAGGGGCTACCCCCGATCGCTTTGTACTGTGTTTTTGATGGGGACGGCAGGGGTGTTAGCTTATCCTCCGATGTTCGCAGGCCTACCACCCCTGTCATATAAACACATGCAGCGCGACTGTGGGCGCACGCGCCATACACCACGACGACCACCCCGCTGCAATTCTCCATCGGTTTGGGCCAGGGTTGGTGGCGGCGGGGGGGAGGGGGGGGCGACGTGTGTCGTGCCTGATGTGTGCTGTCACCTGCACTGGCGCGTCTGCCACACTCTGCGCGCGTCGCGCACTTGGCGTACGCGGAGCACGCGGCGCATCTGGCGGACCAAGCGCGCCTGGCTTGTCGAGCCCCTGGGGCGTCGCCTGGTCATTCGGATGCTACGTACGTGTATGTGTTGGGAGGGCGGGTGGGAGTGAACGAGACGGCTTGCAGCCTGTGGGTACATAGCTTGGCTCCTCCTGCCCCTCCTCCCCCTGGGTCTGGAGGGTGGGGACGCGACCGATGGCCCAAGATGGCACCAAGAAGGTTCTAGATAGCCCAAAATGGCCTACAAGATGGGTCAACATATCTCAATATGGCTCAAGCTTCCAACATGTTTCCGAGGCCCCAAGAGCCCCCCAAGACTGCTCCAAGTGGCCACTGGGCTTCCCAGGGAGGCACTCAAGATGCCCCAACCCTGTCAACACCTGAAGAAAACAAGTGCGCTGCTATGTCTCGCCGTGTCGCTTCCGATGGGCCTCCGACGCCTCACGATGGCTCCCAAATGGCCCAATACAGCCCCGAGAGGGGCCGGAGAAGACGGCCCGATAGCGCTCCAAGAGCGTCCCAAGAGGGACCAACTCCCGAGAGGGGGTCCTGATAGGGCACTGGCTCTTTTGCTCAAAGCCAAACTCAGTGCAACACCATTGGTTGTTCAAAGAAGTTTGCATGTCGGGAGCACCCGTGGGAGGCGCTTGGGCCAATCTAGCTCCAAGGTGGCCTCGACACGCTCAAGACGACCTCCCATATGGCTCAAGGTATCCCGATATGGCTCCGGATTGCCTCCACGGTGCCCCGAAGAGGCTCCGATACTGCTCCAAGACGGCCCCGAGTGGCCACGGAGCCCCTCAAGGAGGACCTCAAGAGGCTAAGGCCAAGACATGTCCAAAACTTCAGGGAGCAAAAGACATGTGCCTTCTCGTTGTCACGCTTCCGATCGGCCTCCGAGGCATCGCGATAGTTCCAAGATGGCTCAAGAGAACCCCAAGAGGAGCCCAAGAAGATGGCCCGAGCGCTCAAAGAGAGCCCCGAGAGGGACTCAAGAGGTAACATTTGGGGCTCCAGAGCGGCGGGGCTGATGGGACCCCCTCCTCTTTGGTCGACGTTCTCCAAGATGGCCCTGATGGCCCCCAGGACGATCCTACGAGGACCCCAAGAGAGAGCCCAGAAGAGGCCCAGAGGCTTCCAAACTGGCCCCGCGAGGGCCCAACGGCAGGCTGCCAAGAGGCTCCTGGGTCGACGGATCCGACAAGAGGCAGGTCTGCTCAGGCCCGTCCCGAGCTTTGGTTTGACGGCTGCCCCCCCCGGCCCTGCGCTCCACTGCTCGCTCCGACACTTTCCCTGGTCCACACAACTCGCCGAGGCACCGCTCTGGAGGGGCTGGTGGGGCCCTTGCGGGGCGTCCGAAGAAGTGAGAAGCACGTCCAGCTCCTCCGCGAAAGACCGTCCCCAGCTCGACTCCGACCTTCCGCCCTGCCTGCCTTAATTGCGGGCGCCCCCGAGACAGGCCCGTCTCACATGATAGAGTGGGGTCCGACGTGATCTTGCGTTCGCGGGTTGATGCATTTGCGTTAGAGGGCAGCCGTGTTCGATCTGGCCCGCGAGCTGCGTCCTGAACATGAATGGGACGCACAGAGAATACTGATACTATATGTCCTCCTTGGAGGCGCACGTCCGACCCGAACATATAGTATACCCATCTTGTAGCATATCGTTTCCCGAGCGGTGCGGCCAGAAAGCACCCGCCACGACGCACATACTACAAGATTCCTCGGTGTGCGCGTCGCCCCTGGGGGAGCGACGCACATCTAGTAGAAGTATCTTGGGTTGACGCCGAATGAGGGTCGGGGCCACCATGCATGGCGCACAAGTTCGCCCCAGTTCTGTTGGCCCTACGAAGTGTGTCGGCGACGACCTGGTGCGCCCATCACCGCGCACAGGCCCTCCTGCACGAGAGGTGGGCGAGGGGTGGACGACATCAGAGAACGGGAGAGGCCTGTGGGCCTGTTGCCTTCCCAACTGCTGCTTGGCACCTCGATGAGCTCGGCGAGGCTCCAGTTTGCGCACCGCCCTACTGCACAGGTCCACGGGCATCGTCTCACCACGCTCACGGACTTCCTGGGCAGCTCTTCCGCCACGCAGAGAGCGACGGCTCAGCCAGAGGCATCGTTCCTTCCGGGGGGGGGGAGCGTTCTTTCAGTTAGGGGGGCCGTCCTCCCGTCCGCCTACTCCTCCTCCCGTCCGCCTCCTCCTCCTCCTCCTCCTCCTCCTCCTCTTCCTCCTCCGCCTCCGCCTCCGCCTGCGCCTCCTCGGGTACCGCTTGGGGCCGGCAAGCCCCCCCGTCCGTTTCGCGAAATCGGGGGTGCCTGCAGCAGGCTCGACGAATCCACGGCAGCTCCACTGGCGACGCTGAACCCGCCGCGGTGGAGCGCGGCTCCATCATCACGCCGTCCGCTGCACCAGGTGGACGCCGGCCTCGGAGGCCACCAGGTCGCCTAATTGCCCCACACCAAGCTCGAAGGCCACCTTTAGGACGCTCGCGGGCACGGGGGGCTTCGTTGGCTTGGCCGCCGCGGCGGAGGCTGGCCTGGCGGCCTCCTTCTGCTTCTGGGCGTCCTGGCTCGGCCTGTCCAGCCAACCGAGATCTCCAGCGAACTCACCGCCCTTCAGCGCGGACTGGCACTCCGAGATGGCGCGGCAAGTGGCCGCGAAACTGGCGCAGCCGTCCGCGCTCAGCTCGTTCAGCGCAGTCAGCAGCCGCTCCTCGGCCTCTTCGAGCGTGCGTGTCACCGGCTTCCGCCGCACGGGGTCCACTGCACTCTTCGAGGCAGCATGGCGCAGCAGGATCTGCCGCAGCCGGATCTTGCTCACCTCGGCCTGGCGCGGGCGCTTCGCAGGCGGGGCCGCGGAGGACGCGGCCGCAGCCTCGCCCGGGGCTCTGCCAGCGAAGCGCGCACCCAGCCGCGCCCCGGCTGCCGCCGCCGGGCCCTCCGCGCCCCTGGCGCACGAGGCCCGCAGCACCTCGAAGCTGGCAGCACGCGGGCGGCCCTGGCTCAGGTGAGGCGCGGCCGCGGCCAGGAGCGCCAGGCCTCCCGCGCCGGCCTCCCCCAGCGACATGGCCACCAACAGCGCCTCCGTGGAGCCGCCCTCCGCCAGCTGCCGGCACCTTGCCGCCGTGGGCTCGCCGAGGCCTGGTGCCGCTGTGGCCGCGTCCAGGGCCTCGGGCTCGACTCCCGGCGCGTCAGCCGCGATCGAGAAGCGCGCCCCAGGCGTGGCCGCAGCCACCACGCGAGGGCCCGACGCGAGCGCCACAGCTGCTACAGGCTGCCGCCCGCCGAGTGCGAAGGCCACGTCCGCGAACGCGCGCGCGAGGGAGCCGGCCAGCATCTGATCGGACCACTCTCCTCGGAAGGCCGCCAACCGCCGCAACAGCTTCTCGGGCAGTGCCTTGGCAGCGGCGTCCGGGGGCGCGGTGCCGTCGGCACCCGAGCCGAAGATGGCGACCACCCCGGCGGGCCGATCGAGGTGGGCCACGTCTATCTTGAACGCTTTCGCTGCGGCGTGGAGGTCGGGGATGATGAGCTGCTTCGGCGTGGGCACGGTGGCCGTGCTGCCGAGGCTCGCGGCGGCCCCGGCGGCGAACGAGAGGCCGCTGTCCTCGCCCTCGCGGAAGGGCTGGTGCGCCTGCGCCGCCTCGTCCAGCCACAAGAGCTGCTTAGTGGCCTGGTCGAGGTACACGTTCCTCTCCTTGTTGTAGAACATCCCTGGGACCTCGGAGCGGTCGAAGCCCAGCGGCCTGTCGTCGTCGATGGCCTTCTTCTGCATGTAGTCCTCGTACGCCCTCTCCTGGACCTCGAAGATCTCCGACTTGTCCTGCTTCATCCGCCACAGGTGGATGCCCTTCACCATCGGGCCCGCCCCGGCGACCTGCTGGCCGCGCCGCCAGCACCCACCCCGCGCGCCGCCGTGCGCCGGAAGCCTGGCGGGCCTCTGCCGGAGCGCGCGCGGCCTCCGGCACTCCGCGCGTGCCGCGCTGCGCTGCAGGGCGCAGCATGGCTCGGCCCGCCGCCAGCGGTTGCGGCCAAGACGGCTACGGAGCAGCAGGCACCCCGGGGAATTCGGGCCTGCGCTGGGGAGCCGTGCAGGTGCCCGGGTCGCCTCAAGCGTCGAGCCTCGCGGCAGTGCCCCGGTCTTCACGCCCTCGCGCCCCCCACTAGAGACGAACGCCTAACCAGCCCAGACCGAGAAGCGCGGTCGCCCTCGCGCCCCCGGGGGTGACCCAAGAGGGCCCTGAAATGAGCCCACCCGATGTCGATCACCAAGAGTCTCCGAGCACGTGCGGGGGTCCATCCTGGCAGGTTGTGAGAGCTGCGTCCAGCCGTGGCCGCGGGGACGCCCCAGGAGGCCCCAAGAGCCGCAGTAGGACCGGAAGCGGCAGCGCCGCTTGCAGCAGCAGCGGCGCCAGGCGTGGGCTCGGCGCGGCCAGCACGAGTTTCGTGCGGCACATGAAGCGGAGGCGGGACCGGACGCACCATCGCTTCTGATCCTCCCGCTCCTCCTCCTGGCTGTTCAGGATGACCTTTGTCTCCTCATCCTCGTGGCGCGGGCTCCTCCATTGTAGTCCTCCCCCTCCTTCGCCTCCACTACCCCTCTTCGTTATCGATGGCCCCTGCCCGTCGCACTACCTGCCGAGTTGTGAAAGCGGTCTGGGCGCGTTGCCCGAGACTTCCCGACAGCTTCCGACCTGGAAGTTTGCAACTTCCAACAAGCCCGCGGATGCAGGGAGGCTCGTTTTTCAAAGCGGGGCTCTCGCCTTGGCGTCGCGAACACTCGTCGCAGCTCTTATAAAATGGTGTTCTCGCATGAGACTTCCTCGGGTCTGACGACACTAGCTTTGAACTTGTGCCACCCTTACACGGATGGAGGGCATGTCCTTCTCAAAGCGGAGCTCTCGCTGGACACGTCCTGGAACCTACTGACCCTGCCCATGTGCACGTCGTCTACAAAGACGGCTAAAACATGGATCCTTTACAAAACGGGGTCCCACTTGAGGGGCAAGCCCACCGGGCATCCGTCTTTCAAGGGGGGGGGGATTACCACAGCGGAAAGAAGTAATTCTCGGGACTGGAGACAAGGGGACTTGGCACAGGAGGGTGGATTGCAGCATCGTTGATGCATCTTGGGTTTCCTCGGGCCATCCTCGTCTTCATCCTCTCGATCCTCCTCTGGCCACTGATGCGATTCCTCCTCTCCTCTTCCGGGGGCGCGCAAACATGGATTAGCGATCTATGCATTTGGCGCGCGGTAGCCAAATCCATTGATCGGGGGAGGTGCCCTTCCCAAAGTGCGGCCGGTGCCGCCTCGTTCGGCGGCGGAAATCCTCGATGTCCCATGGAAACGGGACCCGTCGCTAATCCACGCCCCCTTGATCCATGTTTGCGATCGCCTGATCCTCTCCTCTTACTCCTCATGCTCCTCTTCCTCCGCCATCCCCCTCCACTTCCACCAGCTCCAGCTTTGCAGCAGTGCGGTGGCGAAATAATGCGGAAGAGGCAGCGCGTGCGGGCCTTGTGTATCTTACTTCTGTGTATCCGCCTGTGTATCTGACTTCTGTGCATCGTAAAACTGTCCAACGTCCGAATCTGTCTTCTGCACAGAAGATTTCTGACTTCTGTGCATCTATGTCTATTGCCCACTTGCTCTCCGCATCGTAAAACTGTCAACGGGACGTAATCCACCGCGTGGTGGGTACCAGCGACTAGACCGCCGTCGTTTGACTGCAGCGCGGCCACTGCGTCAGTCTGCATCGCCACAATCTTAGATTGAGTTCCGCCTGTGTATCTGACTTCTATGTATCTGACGCTCAACGCGCTCTTCTACCGTTCAGGCAGATGGCGGTAGCAATCCGACCCGAAAGTCCTCGACGGATATAGCTGCCCACGCTGCCTGCCTTGCTCGCCAGAGTTTGGGTTCTTCACTCGCCCCATCAACAGAGAGGGTGAGAGGTAAGAGAGGAAGCGCAGGGGGGGGGAGGAAGAAGGAGAGGGACAAGGAGAGGGTTGCGAGGGGAGACGGGCACGGGCCTGCGCAAAGGTAGGAACGGGAGGGGGGATGGAAGTTCGGGGAGTGGGAAGGTGGGAAGTGAGAGGGGAGCGGTGGGAGAGAGGGGGGGCGGGGGAAGTGGAGGAACAAAAACAAGTGGATGGGATAGAAATCGCGGGATCCAAGACAACAGCCGTCGTGATTTGTTCGTCACGTGGGCCATGGACCTTTCGACATCATTCAGCCGGCCGTTCTCCCACCCTGGGCTGTTTAGGGAAACTGGCCGCCACGACTCGTTCGTAACGCTGGATGTCTGGGGGTGGGGGGAGGCGCCGAGGGCGAAAAGGAAGAGAGGCATTTTGGCTTCGGGTACGGGGCCAGCGATCAAGGGCAGGATCTCCGTGTCTCGGCCCGGCGGCGTGGTCTCGAGGCGTGCGTTTCTGCCCCGCCAGCCGAAATCGAAGCCGCGGCTGGCCAGCCGGAGGGGGAGGCAGGGGAGGCGCAGCAGGTCGGACTGCAGCACGCGGCTAAAACCGAAGGGCGAACTGCAGCACGGCGCGAAGTTGCCTGTGAGCCTGCGCGCTGCAGCTCACCCGTCCGTGCCGCACGCGTATGTAGAGACAGCTATGTAAAGGGCTGGGAGGGGGGGAGGGAGACAGAGAGAGACAGAGACATATAGAGGAACATAGGCAGAGAAAGAGGGGGGAGAGAGAAAGAGACCCAAGGAGGAAGGGACGGAACCACGGAGAGAGGGGTATATACATGTATAGAATATGGGCACAGAAAGAACTGGTGAGAAAACGAAGAATAGACCTATAGAGAGAGGGGTTGGTATGAATCTACATGAAGGAGGATAACGAGCAACACTATCTATAGAAGTGAGAGAAGCCCATCTACATCGATGTGTGTGCATATACGGAAATGTATAAAATATGCACGGACACATATACGCATGGAGATGTGTATACGTCTGTATGTGTCAATGAATCTATGTGTGTATACAGACATGCATGCATGCATGTATGCGTAGATGTACACATGCATTAAAACTATGTGTATACAAATCCGCCGACCCTGTGGGCGAGTGTGGGATGTCTGTCCGGTCCCGTCGACGGGGAGAGAAAACACCCTTCCTCTTCCGGGGAACGGGTTCGCAGCTTGAGGGAATTACATCCCAGGGGGGGAGGGAGGGGAGTCGGATATGTATCCGTCCCTGGGGGTCCTCCTCCCCATCCCCTCACCTCTCCCACGCCAGTCCTCCTCCGGTCCTCCTCCCCAGGGGGGGGGGGTCCCAGGGGGAGTCCTTTTCCTCCTCCTCCTTTTCCTCCTCCTCCTCCTGGTCGTCGTCGATGTCTTGCAGGGTCGGCGGCACCGGCCGTCCGTCGGACTTTCACACATATATATATATATATATGTATATGTATATGTGTACGTGTATGAATATTCACACATAAAAAACTGATTAATCACACATATCTTTGTATATATATATATACACTTTTATATATGTATATATACATATATATAGATACGTATATATATATATATATATATATATATAGTCCGCCACCATGCATGCAGCACCATGAACCGTGGAAGAATGTCAAGGGCTGCCTGGTAGGGTTCCTGTGGTATTCTAAAGGGCCCGGCTTTCAAAAACTTCCATGATGACCCAGGAAGAAGACCCAGGCCGCCCTCAAAGCCTCCGCGACTAGTAGTAGTAGTAGTAGTAGTAGTAGTAGTAGTAGTCGTCGTAGTAGTGGTAGTAGAGGTAGTAGTGGTAGTAGTAGTAGTAGTAGTAGTAGTAGTAGTAGTAGTAGTAGTAGTAGTAGTAGTAGTAGTAGTAGTAGTAGTAGTAGTGGTAGTAGTAGTAGTAGTAGTAGTAGTAGTAGTAGTAGTAGTGGTAGTGGTAGTAGTAGTAGTAGTAGTAGCGCCAGAGCCGCCGACGCCACGCCGTAAGTGAAGCAGCAACAGAAGCAGGCAGCAAGTCGCCGAGACAGCAGCCAAAGCAAGCAGGCGCGGAGATGAGGGCGGGGCACTGGGGAGTTCTTTACATCTACATCTATATCTACACCTACATCTACATCGGCACCTACATCTACATCTAGACCTACATCTACATCTACACCTACAGCTACATATACATTCAACCTGCATATACATCTGCATCAACATCATCAACGAGACTTACATATACATCTACATCTACACCTACATCTACACCTACATCTACATATACATCTGCATCTACATATACACCTACAGCCACATCTACACCTACACCTACATCTACATCTACACTTTCACATTGGTTGTGCTTTTGTTTTGCATTGCCTTTGATGTTGTTATTGCCTTTGCTGTTGCCTTTGCCTTTGCTTTTGTTGTTGCTATGACTGTTGAGTTTGCTTTGATGTTGTTTTTGCGTTTGCTTGGTTGTGTGTTTGCTTTGCCTGCGCACAGACACACACACACACGCATGTTTTAGTTTTAGCATTCGCTCACCGGGTGTGCTTGAGAATGCTCCGGATCCGGCCTACACCGCACGACTTGGCATTGAGCAAGGTTGTGCAACACTTGCTACACCGAGCGTTCTTACGAAACTGTACAGCAGCAGCAATAGCGGATGCTGTGCTGCGCTGTGCTATGCTATGCTACGCGATGCTAAGATCTGCTCTGCTATGCTATGCTATGATGCGCAATGCTATGCTGGGCTAGGCTGGGGTAAGCTAGGCTATGCTATGCTATGCTGCGCTATGCTATGCTGCGCTCTGCTATGTTATGCTATGCTATATTATGCTGTGCTATGCTATGATTGTGTGTTTGCTTTGCCTTCGCTTTTGCCTTCACGTTTGCCTTTGCTTTTGCTTGGCACCCATGGAGCGCAACTGGGGGAGCCGCGCGTTTGCTTTTACCTTTGCTGTTGCTTTCGCTGGCCCCCAGGGGACCGGGGGAACCGCCCGGGGCGAAGCCCATTGCCGGCCCCTTTAGGCTAATAGAAAAAGAACCCTGTAGGCAGAGCCTAGGTAGTGAATGGATTGCGAAGAAATCTC